GGAAAAGTGTACATTGCCATTTTTGCGGTATCTAATGTATGGCATGAAAGGCTTTTTGCCAGTTTTTCACAAACTCAGGAGAGAAGAATGGCATGTATACTTTATTCCCCACTTCCTAATAAAATTAACTAATTCAAGGAGGTTAAGCAGTTTCACATGCCACCCAGACAACACTGAAAACTTGAGCATCGAGCCAGTTTCCATGCCTCCTGTCTCCTCTGCCACTTTGCCAGCTGTCACCTTCCTGTAGATGGAGGTCTGGGATGCCCAGGCTATAGACAGCAGAAAGACTGGAGAGGAGAAGCAAGAGTCTTCCAGACTCTCCAAATTATCAGGAGTTGAGTTAACTTAATGGAGAACTGGATAAATTATAATTGAACATATCATATGAATACTAGTGTGGTAATAAAGAATTGATTTGTCAAGAGGAAAATGCAACAGGTATTTGGGTCCCTTCAAATTATTAATGAGATTTTGTAATTTTTTTTCTTTGACAGAACAAACCTGTAATGGCTTTTGGATTGATAACCCTTTCACTATGTGTGGCTTATATTGGTTATCTACATGCAACACGAGAGAATAAAATGGAACTCTATGAAGCTATTGATAGTGAGGGGCACAGTTACATGAGGAGGAAAACATCTAAATGGGATTAGTGTTGCTGGTTACTGTGGATGGAGCTGTGTTAAGAGCTCCGGAATCATTCATGATGGACTATATATTCACAATATCATGTTTCGTGTGCAGTTGCAACAAACCACTTAATAATCTTTGTATTTTCAAAGCTGCGGCCATTATCTCATTCTTTTTCCACAGAAAGCTCCTCCATGTACTTTTTAAATGAAGTCCTCTTATAAAGGTGCCATGAGAATGGAAGTCATTTTTGTTAATTAAGTTTTATGTAATAAAAGTACCCAGTGTTGTTAAATTTGCATGGTATTTTTAATATTTTAAAGTAAATGGTGCATTTGCAGTTGCTGTGAGGGTTTAATTGTTTTGATTGCAAAGGAAATGGTCATTTTCTAACTGGGCATAGAACCTATATTTGTGAAGAAAAAGAAATTATTGTAAATTATTGTAAACCCTGCAGTCAATGTTAAAGACAAATAGTTTATACAGAGTCACAGATGGTTCATATATTTTGGTTTTCCATTTCAGCTATTTTTGGTCCACAATTTTATTTTAATTGAAAAGATACTCACACTCAACTATTAAAACCAAGATTAAATGAGAGAATAACCAATGTAATTGGAGTTGTTTTTTTTTAAAGAAGAAGTATGTTATATTGAGCTACGATGTTTTTATTTGACTGCAGCTGTTACCTATTTTAGTTTTTGTCAGTTAATGCCACAATGATACAATAAACATGAGGCCAAATGTTCTTATAGTTATTTAAAAACTAGAACTACTCAATAGATAACAAAGTCTCCTTACTATCCTGGGTTTAATTTACATAATTTAAATCTTTCTGACAAAGGTTCTGGACTTGTATTATTTCTAGATATTTATCCCATTCTCCAAAATCATTGTAATTAGGGCTCAATAATAAATCTCATCTCTGAAACTTTATTTCATTTATTATTACCAAGTAATAGTAACTGCACAAGCAGAGTTTATCATCATAATGTCAGTTTTTACTTTCCAGAACTTTAGTGTAATTTTGCAAAGATTCATGAAAATGCAGTTATGCCTGATTTGTAGATATCAAAGAGCTTAGCTAACTGAGTTATCTATATGCATCTAAATTCAGTCTTTACTACCAAGCCCTAAATATTTCTTGCTTTCTCTCTCTACATAGTATGTAGTTTAAAATGTACTTCAGTGGTATAAAATGTCTTTTAATTTAAAGTATTATGTTTTGGTTTTGGTTTCCCTGTGGACTTTGGTTGTTAATGAACTTGAACTTCTGTTTTGTTTATGTGTCACATTATCATCTTTTATAATTCTTTAGTATTCAACAAAATGAGTTGACATTTGGCAGGGGAGATATTGGTTAGGTGAACTATCAAGACATTATTGTAGCCCTGGCTGGGTGGCTCTGTTGGTCAGACCATCATCCTGTACACCAAAAAGTTTTCAGTTCGATCCCCAGACAGTGAACATGCCCAAGTTGCAGGTTCAGTCCCCAGTCAGGGCGCATACAAGAGATAACTGATCGATGTTTCTCTCTCACACTGATCTCTCTCCCCCTTAACCCCTTCTGCTTTCTCTAAAAAGTAAATCAGTAATCAGTAAACATATCCTCAGGTGAGGATTAAAAAAAAGAGGGATTATCGCAGCTCAGAGGATGGAATTGTACACAGTATAGCCTTAAGCCATGTGACATCTACATGAATGAACCAGGGTAGCAGTAGATTGGGCGAGGCACATGGCTGTGAAAGAAAAATAGTACAGTGGGGAATCACCTTGAATTTTAGGAATAAGTACCTAATAGTGATACTTTTTGCAGGATGGTTATGAGTTACAACATGGTCTGTGTGTGTAGACTCAAAGACTACTTGGTTATGCGTTGATGTTTCATTCATTTTCTAAGGGAAAATGCCACTCCAATAAAGTCAATTATGTCAGAAAGGAACAGCCAGAGCAAGATATTGACAGCGTCTTGGGGTGTGGGTCCAAGTAGTTAAAGGAAGGTCTTTTAATGTGGGAGTCTGGCTGAGACTGGGCAAAACTCAGTAACAGGTTAGGTCTTGAACCAAGTTTTGGTAAGATGACTGTTGATAAGTGGCAAACGTCCTTTTGCCCAGGGAATTAATCTGTTCTGATACGAGTGCAATTTACCCAGAGGAGCAAGCTGTTCAATTGATAAATGAGTTTTCAAGCATTTCCTGAAATAAGCAGTGAAATTATTTATTGGTTTATAGCCTTATATTTTATAGGGTGACCAATGTGTCACAGTTTATTAGGCATGGGGTAAGGGGGGCAGGGGGATGGTGCTTTGCATATAGGACTTTCCATTTTAAAACAAGTTCAACAAATTATTTAACTGTGTGACTTTAAAGGTTTTTAAAAGATTTTATCTATTTATTTTTAGAGAGAGAAGGGAGGGAGATGGAGAGAGAGAAACATCAATGTGCGGTTGCTGGGGGTTATGGCCTGCAACCCAGGCATGTACCCTAGTTGAGAATCGAACCTGCAACACTTTGGTTCACAGCCCACGCTCACTCCACTGAGCTACATCAGCCAGGGCATAACTGTGTGACTTTAAAACCCAGGCTTAGGCTCTGGCTGGTGTGGCTCAGTGGATTGAGTGCTGGCCTGCAAACCAAAGTGTTGCTAGTTCGGTTCCCAGTCAGGGCACAAGACTGGATTGCAGGCCAGGTCCCCAGTAGGGCGTGCTCGAGAAGCAACCACACATTGGTGCTGTCTTCCTTTCCTTCTCCCTCCCTTCCCTTCTCCCTAAAGATAAATAAATAAAATCTTAAAAACAAAAAACCCAGGCTTAGTAATTTTGAGTGCTGATTTAATGAAAAGTATTTAAAAAAATACTCCAATATTTCCCAATTTTATTGCCATGGCATCAATACCACATTGATAGATAAACTTTGCTGGCCTAAAATGAATCAATTCTTTAAACAAACCCTTTAAAAGAAAGTGTAGTGGGCTGAATAGGACTCCCATTCCCCACCCTACCTCCAAAGATGTCCACATTCTAATCACTGGAACCTGTGGATCTGTTACTTGATAGAGACTTTGCAGATAGGATTAAGTTAAGGATTTTGAGATGTGGAAATTTTACTTTATTATCTGGGTAGGCCTAATATAATCACAGAAGTCCTCAAAAGGGAGGCAGAAGGTTAGAGGAAGAAGCACTTGTAGGGAACCGGTTTGTTTTAATCTGGCAAATGTGACTCAGCTCTGTATGGAAAACCGACAGGAGTGAAGTGGTGGGCAGGAGCCAGACCCTCAAACCAGGTTCTCCCGTGGGAACCAGGCCTAGAAAATGCATCCAGACTGTTTTGGCTTGCTCTTGCTAAAACTCTGTCACCCTGGTCTGAAACAGTAGTTGTTTATTGCCTATCTCAAGGTAATTTCCAAAGCCTGTGTGAATTTTCCCAAGGGTAAAGCGTAATCAGCTCACTACCTTTCCCTTCTGCATTTGTTATTTTCATTGCCTTGATTGTACCTAAAGTGTAGACAACATTTTATGTGATAGATAATAAATCCTTCTTTGATGTAAGACCCAAGAAAAACAATAAAAGCCTGTCCAGGCAAGGGTTGGGGTGCTCTTCCCTTGAGAGAAGCGGCCATGGGACTCTCATCCTAAGAGAGTACCATACCATCCCTTTTTCTGCACAGGACTGCTGTAGTCTGTATGCGTTTGTTCTCATCTTCAGCCACAACACGCAGACTCTGCTGGCCGGAGTTTGCCACAGCACTGTCACCGTGCAAGCAGGGGATGAAAAGGCTATAGAATGAGAGGTCGTGAACCAAGGAATATGTGTGGTCTGCAGAAGGTGCAAAAGGCAAGGAAACATTCTGCCCTACAGCCTGCTGACTCCATAATTTAGTCCTATAAGACTTATTTGGGACTTCTGACTTCCAGGACTGCAAGAGAATAAATATCTGTTGTTTTAAACCACTAAGTATGTGGTAATTTGTTACAGCAGCAATAAGAAACTAATATTGAAAGGCTGTGCTATGCTACACTTTTGTCATTTCTAGCTGCTTTTATGAGCAAAGCTTGTCTTACCTAGCAACAGTTGCTAAGTAAGTTGACAATTTAATGCTAGTGTCTAGGAGGGAGCAGCTGCTTAAATCTTCCCAAACCCAGGGCCTATACCTTACATGGCCGAGGCTCTCAGTAACATTCTTTAACATTAGCCACATAACTACTACTTAATGATGGTGAATCACTCAATTCTTACCAGCCTCTAGTATTGTTCTAAAACCTTGACTTCTCTTCCACTTTCTTAAACATCTAGCTTTTCTCAAAACTACTTTTTATGCTCTTAGGAGTATTTTAACTGTACATAGTAAAAGACATCTTAAATTTAATTATGATCAGAAATTCAAGTTACACAAACTTTGTTTGCTGTGCTGTTTGTAATAAAGTTATTCCACGAGCCCCTTTAGGGGAAACCTTCAAACGGATCCATGAATACAAGCCATTTAAGACACGCTTTTACACTCACAAAGATATACTGGGTAAGTGACTTTGCTATTTTCCTTGGTTGTAATGTTTCATAGCATTGTATGTCTTTCTTCCTGTTACAGACTTTTATCAGCTTTCCTGATCAAAGTTGCTGGTCCTACAGGGGTGTCTGTCATGAGAACATGGGTTGAAATCCAGCTTCTTCACTTACCATTTTGTGCCTTGGACAGGATACTTGGCCTCAGTCTGTAAACCTATTTGTAGCTTATTAACATAGGGACATTAATAAATATTGCAGGCGTATTAAGAGGCTTTAAAGAAATAGAGGGTGGGCCCTCGCTAGTGTGGGTCAGTGGACTGAGCACCAGTCTGTGAATTCAAAAGTTGCTGGTTCGATTCCCATTCAGGGCACATGCCTGGGTTGGGGGTCAGGTCCCCAGTAGGGGGTACATGAGAGGCAACCACACATTGATGTTTATTTCCTTCTATTCCTCCCTTCCTCTCTCTCTAAAAATAAATAAAATCCTTTAAAACATTTTTTTAAGAAATACGGGGTGGGAAAAAGTAGGCTTACAGTTGTGAGTACATGAAACAATTATTTTTGTATTTATTAATTATTGTACAAATAACTGTAAAACCACCTTTGCCCCACCCTGTATTTGTGCCTCTTGAAAAGCCTGGCACATAATAGCAAGTGGGGGTTCGTTCTGCCCTTGCCCACACTTGGGAGCCTTCCATACTCAAAGGAGTGGAAATATCCCCATCACTTTAATAAATGGGTGAAAGAAACCATAACCTATATTAGGAGCTAGAGACAAAAAGGAGATACAAATAACATGAGAATATTTACTGCATATATGCTTATAGGAAGCAAATCAAGTTGTAACTAACAGGTTTCCTTTCTTCTTATGCCCATCAGAGCTTCGGTTTGAGTTTGAGCCTTAACTGTTTTCCTAGGGACTCTCAGAACACCCCTCCGATCTTCTCTTCCGCTAACTTGGTAAACAAGTGGTGATTTAATTTCACTCCTGATCTTCGAAAACACAAATGCTAGAGAATGGAGGGTGTTTTAAAAGAACTTAAATGTAGAGGGAGATCAAATTGAAATCATCCTCTAAAAAATACCAACACCAAAACTTAATTTTAACTATAATAACTGTATAGTATGACTTTTAACTATAACCTCTAAAACGACTTGACATTTTATACCCAGGGCAGTGAGTATCTATTCTTAGATAAGCTTTTATTGATTGATTCCTTATACCTTCCAGGATATCTGAATCAAAGCATCAAGTGGATAAATTAAATCTAACTAGTTAGAAATTAATCCTTTCTATGGCCCGTATTTGTCATGGACTACTTGAAGTCACAAAAGTCAATATTCTCTGTTCTGTGTCAGTCAGTCCGGAGGCGTGTTGAAATGTCAGTATAAGTGCTGATGAGTATCGCGTAGAGCAGCAGTCCTCAGGCCTAACAGTGGGCTGCAGCACTTCTAAAAATTTTGTTTTTACTACAAATATCCAAACACAGACTCACTGGATTTAATGCGAATCCAAGTTGGACCCACTAAATTAGAACCTTCAGAATCGAGCTGCAGCATGTGTCATTTTTATTTTTTGTATTTTTACATATTTTAATAGCTTTTTATTTGGAAATAGTTTAAGACTCACAAGTTTTAAAAGTAGAACAGAGAGTTTCTGTGTACCCTTGTCCAGATTCTCTTACTGATATCTTACAGAAGAACAGTAGTCCATTGTCCAAACGAGGAAATTGGTATTGGAACAACACAATTAACTCAGGGACAGGCCTTACGTTCACTCCCCACCCCCAGCCTTGGTAGATAGTTTTATGAAATTTACCATGTGGCTATCCTGAAGTGGGAGAGGGAAGTTCTTGAGAAAAATGGGATGGGTGGGGGGGGGGGGGGCTGTGGTAGGGTGAAAATGTAGACAACTGTACTTAAAGAACAATAAAAACAATCAGAAGGAGGCAGGGGATGCTGGGCAGACAAACATGTGTCTTCCTGGTGTCTTATCTATGCTCGCTGCCAGGCTTGGCACGGTGAGAGATACACTGCAGTAAAAGGTGTGCTTTGTAACTTTAGGGAGTTGATTGTCGAGACCTAATCACATGAAAAGTTAATAATGCAGCAAATCTTAGATGTGAGAAATGAATGGAATAAAGAATAAACCCAATAATAGGAGTAGAAAGAAAGATCTCAGCGTGTGATTTCAATACTCACAGGGCTCATCATCCCCCTCCAGGTCGTAGGTCAGGTCTGAGGCCACACTCCCGTAGGAGAAGATGGAGAAAACCCTGTGCCCAGCTCAGTGAGCTCAGGGCTCTGCTCCAGCTTCAACCCTGTCCCTAGCTAGCTGACACTGTGTGGTCCTCTAAGCTCTCTAGGCTTTTATTTCCTTGTTTGTGTAGGGAAGGTGTTATGATGGGAGGGTATTATTTGTAAATTCGATTAAGTAATTGATGGAGAAGTGTTAAACTACTGCCCCCTAACTCCATGACTGAAGCAGCTAAGCCCAAGAAAACCTACACACTAAGGAAAGGCGTGCACCATGTTAAGGCATTCTGCTACCGCTTTCAGGGTCGAGGTAACACCAACATCCAGATAAGGGCAGGGCCAGGGGAGCTGAATCGTCGTGAACAGTCACAAACTATTCTACTTTGGGAACACAAAATGTGCTCCTTTCTGCCACTCTCCTCCACAGCGGCCCACCCTGTGGCCCAGCTGCACATCCCTGACGATCCCAGCCTAACAGTGCTGTGTGTGCCCTCCTGGTCAGTTAGGGAACAACTTAGCCCTTTCATCGGTGCCTTTAAAGAAAAGATTGATATCTCTTAAAAGTATCCATCTCTTAGATGACTCTAATAAATAACTGGGTCATTGTAAAAAGGGAAGCCAAGAAACATGTGGAAACTTGTAATTATTTCTCTTCAAATAGATATCGGGGCAGATATTTTGAATAAAGAAGAAGAATTTCAAGAGGCTCTACTCAAAGAACGTATTGCAAAAGCAGAAGCTAATGTGTGGGCTCAGGTAAAAAGTTGCAAATCAATTTAAATGCACCCTTACAGTCTTTTCACATTTTAGACTTGTGTGAAACAGTTAGTCAGGCAGAGCTGATGTTGAAACCTGGCTACTTTTGGGACCTTGGGCAAGCTCTTCAACTCATTAGTTTTGGCTTCTTCAAAAGCAAAAGAGGAACAATGATGCCCAGTCTATAGGGTAGTAGAGAGAGTTAAATGAAATAATTGCCTGGCACACACAGTTGGTGCTTAGTAAGAAACAGGCATCATCAGGAGCTTCATTCCTTCTAAATTGCCTCTATGTGTGGATGACTCTTGCTCCCTTTCTTCTCATTGGATTAAAACTTAAAAAAAAAAAAGACATCCCTGTTGATAGTTGTTTATTATTGCTTAATAGCTAACGTGTAGACCGTCCATCTGTGCAGTGTGTAACACGAGCCTGTTTTTTGCAGATGCTTTAGTATGGTTAATCTCCTTTTGAGCTTTTTCCTTGTTCTCCTTCTCTCTAAAGTCCTTGATACCTTGTCCACGTGACTGCTGAGGGCTGTAGGGGCCCTTTGAGTGGGGGGCTCACAGATCCCAGGCCCTTAACTGAAGCAAAATCTCGATCATCCAGCCCCTTCTTCTTTCAGTCGTAGATAAAACCATACACATGACTTCCTAAAGAAAATTAATGCTCTTTGAGAGCAGGACAAGCCACAGTGCTTACAATGTGATTTCCTGGTTTCTTAATAAAATAGTTATCATGGTGGAAAGTGTTGGAAGTGCCCAGTATTATTGCCAGTAAAAGCTTGGTATGAAAATGTGGAAGTCCAAAATGCTCCTGTACAAAGGGTAATATGTATAAAAGTCTTAGTAGTCATCTATCTTTATCAAAAATAATATATTTAAATTTATTATGAATCATAAATTATACACACCCTAATGCAAGGGAATGCTTTTGTGGGTAATCTACAATTTGAATATGGGTAATAGGATGTTCTGGGCACTCTCTCCAAATAAAATCATCCATTGTTTCTGAAGACCTGACACAGGGCGCTGGGGTGGTGCTCAGGCTCCCTTCTCAGTCACTTCAGGCTTTGCGCATCTTTTCACCTCTCTGTAGTTTTCAGATTTTCTGTAATGAGCACACTGATTACTCTCATAGTCAAATTAAGCAAGAAATGGAGTGACAGATTAAAAGAGAATCCCAGCAGCCTCCAGTACAGGTCTCTTAAGGCATTGCTGAAACAGCGGAGTTAGCTGCGGGTCGGGCCTTGCTGGGGCATCTGGCCGAGACAGCCGGTTCGCCACGGGAAGTTTGCAGTGCGAACAGAGCAGGGAGCCAGAGGTCCCACGGTGTTTGCTCTTTTTCAGTAAATATAAAAACCTGATATATTAATACATAAATGGACTCTTTCTTTCAAAGGCTGATGAACGTCAAAAACAAGCAGTGGAGAAAGCACTTGAAGAAATGAATGACATGCATAAAATTAAAATTCAGATTCTGGAAGAGCAACATCAAAAAAGTTTACAGGTTTTTATAGTGGCTTGTTTGCTGTCTTTTAAAAAGTACTTAAGTGAATGAAAAGCTCTGGCAAGGGAATAAGTGAAAACAATGTGTGATGTCTAGATGGGTGTTCCTGGAGGCTGGCCGTGAGGCCGGAGACGGTCACAGAGGAGATGCTGAACACTCCGCGGGCCCAGGAGAGCCCCCCGGGTCTGAAGGAGCCACCCCTGCCTGCCTGACCCACCACATCTCTTGCCACTTGTTCTCCTTCGCTCCTCTCACTGCCTTTCTGTGGGTCCTGATGCACCATGCGCCTTCTGATCTCCGTGTCTTTGCCAGAACGTCCCTCCTGCACGCCATCAGATTTAGCTCAAACATCCCTGCTCCCAGGGAGCCTTACCTGACAGGCTCCGCCCTGCCATCCACACAGTGTCCTAGGCACCCCTTCCGCCTTCACAGCAGCCACCATCCGTCACTACTGTAATTAGACTGTGTGACCATTTGTCCAGTGTCGGATCCCCACGTGACTGTAGCCTACATGAGGACGTGTCTCCTTGCCATCTAGTCCCAGCGGCCAGCACAGTGCCTTCACTAGTGCTCAAATGGGGATTAAACGGAGGAAGGAGGCTGCCCTCTTCTCCTGGCCTCTCTGATTGCACCCTTTGACCCAGTGTGCACTTCCTGCAGTGCCAAGAGGGTGCCTTGAGCTGTTTCCGGAGAATTTCCTTCGGGACCGGAGGTCATATAACAAGGGGGTGCCCTGTCTATTGGTTTAAGCACAGGACTGCAGACAATTAGCAAATGTTCCAGACAGAGGCCCAGGGACTGATCCTTTAGGTTAGTGCGTCCACTACAAAATTTGCTCAAAGGAGAAGGATTCAGAACTCTTTTCACATGTTGGCCACAGGAGGGACACGACAGGACACAGTGTCGATGTGTCGATGCGTGGGCGGAGGCTGGGGGGGGGAGGGGCAGAGGTCTGGTTCCAAGCTTAGCCTCATTCGATAGAACATAAGTAATAAACAGTTTGGGACGCTGGGCCCACTTATTCCTCATTTTGGCAGTGAGCACCGACCATGTATCAGGTCTCTACTAGGTGCAATTAAATGGGCTGTGCTGGCGCGGAAGAGAGGGAGTTCGCACCACGGCTCCTAGATGGTGCTGAGATCCTCCCTGCTGGGCTCCAGTGGCCAAGGTCTCTGAGGAGGTGGCTGCGATGGTCCACTGCCCATCTCCTATTTTAGTTCAAAGTGTGAAAAGCGTTTAAATAGCATGTCTAGGAATGCCTTCTTGTTAGTTGGCCTGTGCTAGTGTGGTCATACAGGGTCTTCAAGTCCTGAAATACTTCTCTGGGTGGTCAGTTGATAACCACCCTTCAAGCCCCCTGATACCTTGGCCACCCTGGTTGTTTTCTACTAGGCCCCTGGACCTCCCCCAGTCCAGCAATTTAAAGGGGCAGCAGTTTAAACTGGTGGCGGCTCTAGGACCCTGCCCAATGCTGCAGCAAGAGTATATACATTGTGAGTATCACTCCCTGGCATTAGGCTGTGCAGACAGGAAGATAAATGTGGTGCCTGTTTCGAAGAGCGTGCCTCTAGTCTCCCTTTAGGTAATCTGCACCCCATATAGACTTTCGGTAGAGTTGTTGCCCTTAATATTGAAATAGAGGTCCTAAGAAAATGTAAAAGGGAAAAGTTAGAGAGAGGTTTACCTTTCTAAAATATTGGTCTAGGATTTGAGAATTTATCTTTGTACTGCTGCCTCAAGGACATTTCTTATACAATGAAAGAGTGATTTGTCTCAGAGGGATGTGTAGGGTTATCTTAACTGTTATAGACATCAGTACTGCTTCTGAGGGGGTCTGTGAACTCCCTACCTTAGTTTCTACTCATCTGGGAGCTTAACATGAAAGTTCCGGGGCCCCACCTGACATACAAAGTCACCAGCAGTGTTTTGAACCAGCAGCCTCTGTGATTCTCACATATTAAATTTTGACACTACCAATAAATAGAGCAGAAAACCAAGTTCTTTAGAACTAAATAGCATTAAATTCTTACCTTACCAAGTACTGCTCTAATATGATGTAAAGGATTTGGGATAGGTCTCAAACACTTGATGTTAAATAAATTTCTAGATCATCTCTAATGGAGATAGTATTTTGAAAAAGTATTTATATTCTTTCACTCAAATATAGTAATATTAAAAAGTAAGTGAGAAAATAAGAGCCAAAAGAAAATAAGGAAAATTAGCCCTGGCTGGTGTGCCTCAGTGGATTAACCACCAGCGTGTGAACCGAAAGGTCAAGGTTAGATTCCCAGTCAGGGCACATGAGTGGGTTGTGGGCCAGGCCCCCGGTGCAAGAGGCAACCAATCAATGTTTCTCTCATACATTGATGTTTTTTTTCCCCCTCTTTCTCCCTCCTTTCCTCTCTCTCTAAAAGTAAATAATTTTTTAAAAGTTTTTAAAGAAAAATTAGAGTAGGAATTATAATGAAATCAAGGATGATTTTAAAACTTAAAAACACATGTAATCCATGAGGTCCTGTGCAATGAACACAGATTGGGACTTGAGCTTTCTGGCATTCAGTGCAAGGGAGAAAATGCCATGAATCACTGCAGCCACAAGGTAAGAAGAATCAAGTGTTCAGACAGGTCCAGAGAATCCTACATGCGATACCTAAGAGGAACTCCCCCTGATGGAGATATGTGTTCTAAGTGCCTGTAGAACATCTATATAGTAAGTATGATGTATTTTGTGAGTCCATTTCTTATTATGTCTCAAAATTATAACCTCTTCTTTAAATACACTCAAAATGCATTTCAGTACAAGCAGTTTAATCAGAGGACTTTCCATTGAATAAGGACACAGCCAAACAGTAGGCCCTTGAATTATTTTTGTAACTTTAAATATGTACTCCCCATGCTAAGTGAGGCAGTAAACTGATTTTGGTTTTACTAAATTGTTATATAAAAGAGGGACTAGGTTTAAAACTCTGAATCCTAATTCAGAATCCAGCCAAAATAAAGGGCTGGGATGTCATTTTTATTTTTGTTTAAAAGATTTCACTTACTTATTTTTAGAGAGAGGGGAAGGGAGGGAGAAAAGAGAGGAGAGACACAGCAATGTGAGAAAGAAACATCTATTCTTTGCCTCTCACATGCCCCTAACCGGGGACCTAGCCCGGAACCCAGGCCAGGAATGTGCCCTGACTGGGAATCGAGCTGGTGACCTTTTGGTTTGCAAGACAATGCCCAACCCACTGAGCCATACTAGTCAGGGCTGGGATGACATTTTTAAATTCTATGATTCAAATAAAAATGTATTATGATGATACCTCATCTATTTATCTAACCACTCCATAATGTCAATTATGAAATTGACATTAAAATAAAATTTTAAATAATTTTAAATAATTAAAAATATTCCCTAAGAATTTAAATAAAGACCTCTGAGTATAAGATAGACACTCATGCTTATTAGCCTTAGCAGAAACTCTCCAACCTCCCCTCAAGTGGTGTCACATATTACTTGACAAAATGGTATCACACTTTCTTGACAACCTGAACTCAACAGGCGTGGTTCATTTGCTTTTACACATCCAAAATAGATTAAAGGCTGGAAACTGGAAATGACAAAAAGGAGCTCACTGACAACAGTTAGAGAGTATTTAGCCCAATGGCATGTAAAGAATGAGAACTCATTGCCAAAATCAGATATCAAATATAAAAAAGCAAAGCAGTCTGGGGTCATTTATAACAGAGACAAATAGTCCTGTGAACTTGAATGATTACGGAGTTGCAGTATAAAGTATTTAGCCCAGTGCAATCATTCATCTTTTTCTACTGTCCCGGATCATCAAGAAACGTTAATGTGTGCACTATACTCTTTTTTATGAAGTAAGATAAATGTTGAAGACATTTGAAACATTTCTTTTTAAAAAAAGATTTTATTTATTTATTTTTAGACAGAGAGGAAGGGAGGGAGAAAGAGGGAGGGAAACATTAATGTGTGGTTGCCTCTCATGCGCCCCCTACTGGGGACCTGGCCTGCAACCCAGGCATATGCCCTGACTGGGAATCAAATCAGCAACCTTTGGATTCATAGACCAGCACTCAACCCACTGAGCCACACCAGCCAGGCATTTAGAAATAGCTTCATTCAAAATGTTTTATTATCAAAAAGTTCTAGTTATTTAAGAGACAAATCATTTCTAAGTAGACGATGTTATCCAAAAAAAGATTTCTCAATACATGAACTGAGATCACTCTGGATAGATCCATTCTTGAAGTTGATTTCTGTTGTCTTTTTCATTAAAAAAAAATCTTTTTTGCCACTGGAGTAGCTGAAGTGAGAAGTTGAAAACTTTGTTTCTCTTGAAAAAGCAGAAGTCTAACAAATATTTAATTGTTGGAACTTTTTTTTTCTAAAAAACTAAAGTGATTTCAGTTTTTCTTGAAACTTAAAGAGATAGAGAGCTCACTGTACTATCTCATAAGCCTACAGGATTTCTGGAATGAAAATAATTAGAGGAAACCTGTGGAAAACACTAGCATCACAGCCAGCAATAAAATGAGAGGCTGGTGTCAAGAATCCTGGTTTCTCTTCCTAGTTCTTCTGCTGACTAACTATGAAATGATTTAATTTCTGTATGTTCTCTCACTATACCTACAATAAAGATTAAAATTTACCTTCCAATGAAAGATTTGAAACTCCTAGACAGAATTCATTGCTCCTTCTTTTTTGCGTGTATTTCTACTAAACTGCTTGCACAGTTTGTGGCAGCTGGGCCTAGCAGAGTGCCTGCCACCCCCAGGAGTGAGCAGGCATTTCCACAGTGCTGGCAGGGGTTTTTTTATTTATTTTTATTTTTATTTTTTGAGGATCTGGCCTCCTGGAGTCCTGTTTCACCTGTGCCTCCTCCCTTAACTTGGCTAATGGCATCCACAGGTTCTGCTACCCCAGAGCAGTGAAAACTTGTTCCTGTCCCCCCAGTGAATGAGAAAGGGCCACTCAACACTAAGGACAGTGGGCACTGGCAGGCAGGTTCCTGTGACCACAGAAATGTTCAATTGTTAACTGCATGAGACACTCAGGAGACACAGTTATTGTTTCTACCATTCCCCATGACTTTCCTCCTAAAGTAGAATCTCAGTATATATTTCTAACTATATATAGATAAAATGACATTATAGAATATTTGCACAATCAAGAAAAAATAACCGTAATTTAACTGTTTTCCCTTTCTGCATATTCACTCTCAAAATTGTCTATATAAATATTTATGCAACCTAGTTTGCATGTTTCTGGTTTTACTTAGCATCATAGAAATGGAAGTTTTCCATATTATGCCTGCTATTTTTTAAACTACATGTGTTTGCAGGTGCACATTTCATCAGGTTCTTAAACATCAAAGCTGTAACATTTAAACCTAGTTTTATTGTTGCTTAAGGAAATGGCAGATAAAACCAAGACAGAGATGCAGCAAAACATGGAAGAAGAACTAAAGAGGGAGAACTTGGCTGCAGAACAACGCATGGTCCACAGAATCCAGAGAATCATGACGGAGTGCCACAGGGAGAAAGTCCAGGCTGTGGAGAAAGTCAGGGCGGAAGAGAGACAGAGGGCCCAGGAACTGATCCAGGCCCAGAAAAGGTATTCCAGAGAACACATTTGCAAATTAGTGTTTCACTCTGTCAAAATCACCTTGGAGAAAGGGGTAAGACTAAGTCAGCACATAGGTGGATATTTCCCAGTTTTTGTGTTTTCACATTATGGGATATATCAAACACAGAGAACAGTACACAATGTGTTGTAGAGTGTGTGTGTGCATGTATGTGTGTGGTCTAAAACAATAATAATATGCATACGCAAGGACCTGCCACCCTTTTAAAGGGATTGAAAACTGGTGATGCTTCCGAAGCTCCATGTCTTCTTCTTCAGTCCCTTTCTTCCTCTCTTCCCTCTCCAGAGATAACTACTGTCCTCAATGTTTTCATTCTGTATGTCCAGTGTTAAGAGGCTGAGGAGAGGAATTAAGAAATATGTTTTTCCACAAACACATAAAAGTCAATCTTCATATTTTTTAGCCTATAACGTACACTATTGTGGACGTGTTACTTTTTGTTTTGTTTTTTAATTGCACAAGTAATACATGCTGTAAATGAAATGGACATTATGAGAATATAGGGAGCAAAAGTTGCTAAGTCCCCACCACCGCCTCCCTACCCTTCCCTGTTTCCCAGAGTCAGCCATTTTAAATAACGGCGTCTACATCTTTCCATGCTGTTTTGATGTATTTGCAACCTTATTTATGTGCATAATCACAAACAATTTCTATATAAATCAGATCATATACAATATGTAAAAATTTTAAGAACACCAAAGTAGCCCTGGCTGGAGTGGTTCTGTTGGTTGGAGCATCGTCCTGTGCACCAAAATGTCGTGGGTTAGATTCCCAGTCAGGGCACATGCCTAGGTTGTGGGTTCAGTCTCTGGTCCAGGTATGTACTGGAAGCAACCAGTGTTTCTTTCTCTTTCTCTCTCCCATCCTCTCTCTCTCTAAAATCACAACATATATCTTTGGGTGAGGATTACAAAAAAAGTAACTATTTTTATTTATGTAATGAACATTTAGTGGAATTAGCTAATTTTGACAAGGCAGTAGTAAGGAGCCCTGTTGATTATCGGGACCAAGAGGAAACTACAGTTTCCACATGTTAAGTGACCTGCCTAAGATCCCTTCATTGTAGCAGCAAAATAAGACTAAAACCTCTGTATTTGACCTCCTAGTCTAGGACTTACCTCTTCTGCTTTGCTTCTGGAGTTAACAAACAAATCTGTTTGTATGTAATTAAGAGGTAAAAATCTTCCTCGTTATGTCTGTTTAGAACAGGGCCAAAGGTAAAATCCTGTAGGATTCTTATTTTGCAGGTAAAAAAGAATGAGGGCTGCAGGTATGGCTGTTTCAGTGGTACCTCCCTTCTTGCATAGGAGATACATCCTTATTGAGATAGAAGAGGAAGGTGAGAGAGGATTTATAGAGCAATTTAGAGAAGGTGGCAATTACCAGATGAGTGTGGCCCGCTACAGTGGAAAGTGGCACCCTCCTCTCCCAGCTCCTCCCGCCCTCTGTGTGCAGGAGCTCTGCCCCGTCTGGAGGAACCTCTGGGCCCACTCCTCACACACCTGCAGCTTCTGCTCCTTCCTTCACTGCACTGCTTTCACCCCTCCCCCTCCACTTTCTCTGTGAGGTTCAAAGGAAAGATTTTCAATGGCCCCCTTTTACTCAATCAGTTGACTTAAGATTAGGGAACTTCCATGCCTGTTATTTAAGTATATCCATCTAGAATGTCCATTTTGTTCATTGATGTGTTCCAAATGCCTGGAAAAGAGCCTGGCACATGGTAGGCATTCTTTAAATATTTATCCAACAAACGTTCAAATGTGTTCCAGTCAGCTGAACCCATTCTGCTGCACACCAGATCTTATTTCTAGACACTGCTAGATTCCAGCATTCTTCTGAGCATTTGTAGAAACTAATATATACAGAAGGACCACTGTTTAGAATTGCGCCTATAGACCATTTATTTGGCTATAAACTTCCACTTAAGACTTAAGGACTCAGAATTCTGACATATTAGGACAAATTTGTTAAATGCACGGAAGATGTTTTTGTGTATTGAGGTGGACTGGACTTTAAACAGATTAGTAATTTCAGAATTTAAAAACAAAAACAAAAACCAGAAACATATTTGCTTGGTTCTAAGTGTTTCCTAGCCTAAGGCAAAGGTGTGAATAGAGTGACAGCTCAGGGATTTTTGTGGCGGCCGCTGTAATTCCAATGACAGCTACCTTTATTGAACACCTGACATCTGCAGGGCCCTTTGTACGTCTCTTGTTGAATCCTCATATCCCTTCCTGGAGGATTCTGTCATCCCCCATATCCCAGGTGAAAACCCTGAGTCTTAGAGTGAGACTAAGGAAATTGCCAAGGGTCATGAGGAGTGGAGGTGGCGGGGCCCAGTGTGAACCTTGGTCTGTGTGATGCCAACGCCTTAGACCTTCTGTTATGCTACCTGGTTCACCTCACCACAGAAGTGCCTTCTGTGGATGTGGATCTGAGCTCTGGGACAAAGAAATAAGGGTGTTTTCGCAGTGTTATGTGAAGTAGCTTAAGCATGGCTGTGCCATATGAGCAGGGCTAGATGGACTGGTACAAAGAACACATAGGAGCTGGAAGAGCTCAGAGTCCTGGAAAGATCAGGCAAACTGAGAGTGTGGGCCGTGTGCTGAGGCAGGTTTCCTGAGGGAGTTAGTCTTGGGTTGGGCCTTAGAGAGAAGGAAAGGAAGAGGTCCCGTTTGTGAAAGACTGCAAAGAGCGAGAACAGCACGCACAAACACGGAGGGAGAAGGTGGGTAGTAAAATGAGGCAGAGCCAAGGCAAGCTTGAGAATATTTACACCCCGAGAGAGGAATGTGCTGCCGAAGGTTGGCCTCTGGAGATGCCCCCACCCCCCATGAATTCCTTAACCTGTGTGATGCCTGCAGCCCCAGCTTAGGGGCGTCACTGGTCCTCCTGCCAGACCAGGGGCACTCCGTCCCCAGTGTTTCAGGCAGAAAACCCAAATATATTTTCCTTATGAACACAATGGTTATAGCTGATGAGGAGAGTGCCAAACAGTCCTGTGATTCAAGTGAAAATAAATTAGTAGCTTATTGTGGGCTCCTCAGGCGAACAGTCTGCTATGTTCACTGTTGCTCTAAACTCTTAATGTACAAATGAATTTTGAAAACAAATCCCTTCATAATTTAGAAATATCCTATAGGGAAATGACATGTCAGTTCTTATTGTCTTAGGTTCCAAGATTTTAACTGATGGACACAGAAAGAAGGTTGAAAAGTATAGTATTAGCAACATGCATAGGGAAAACAAAAAGTTCACTTATGTGGTAGAAGGGAAAGAATAGCCATTAATATTTTTCTTTAAACCTGTGAGCAACACATCTTACACCTTTTTAAGAGCCTTCCAAATATAGTGAGAAAGAGCTAAGAGAGGCCCTAACAGGAGCAAAGGACAAGTCAATGTCCAGTATGGGTTTTCCATGCTGTATCTGTTTTCCCCAAGAGCCTAGAGAGGTTGGATTATTATATATTAGATTATATTTTTGTTTAATAATGTATTTTTATCTCTGAAAACACATCTTATAAAATGTCAGACTGAATTCTATAGATATACATGCATGCACTACAATTATTTTGAAAATACTTCAGTTTACTTCCAGCACTGCTCTTAAATATGGTGTGTGTTTCACAATTCCAAGACTATAGCCTCATAAAGTGAGAGGTGGCAGGTGGACCTCACCACTTATACAAAGAAGCATAGACATTCACTTCACTTTGGAAGGGGCATCATAGGTCATCAAGTTGAACCTGCCATCCCTTCCCTGGATGCCTACAAAGGGTCGGTGAGCCTTGGAAGTATTTCCTTGACAGGAATTTTATGACCGGTGGAGGTGGTTGGTTCAGATGCTGAAGCCTGTACCTGTCATGTGCTTCATAAAGTGGATCCAAAATATGCACGTCTCTCCTCTATACACAGTGATTCTTTGGGTATTTGAAAAGAGAGATATTGTCCAAGCTTTTGTATGAAGCAAAGGAAAAACCAAAAAGTACTACTACTAAACCAGGTGTTTTAGTCTCCCCTCATGTGTGATTTCTGGGCCAACTTTTGGGGATAAAATGTGGGTAATTTTGTATTAATCAAAATATATTTTAGATATACCACAAGAATTCACTATTTTTTATGGTGAATATTTTGCTTATGTTGAGAATCCTTTTAAGCATGAATTATTTTAGGCTTAGTAATGCTTCAATTTGCCTGTTTTAAAATTTGGTGTTATTTGGCACACAAAAAAAGTGTTGGGGGTAGCTACATCTATATTGCCTGTTTATTCATTCATGCATTTTTTGGCTGCCTGTTTGATACACAGTGGGCACCAGGCCAGGCAGGGGAGATACAAAGACAAATGGGCGCTCCAGCATCCGCCACCACATGCACCGCACCCTGTGCCCACCTCCCGCCTGGCTTCAACTCCACAACTTCAAAGACGTCATTAGAATAAAGGTCAGAGACATCCTGACCTGAAACTGAAGGAGTGGATTCCAAGGGTCAAAAATTTAGGCTCTAAGGAAGGCTGGAAAAAGCCAAAAAAGACATTTCATAAACAAACAAACAAACAAACAAACAAACAAACAAACAAACAGATTCTCTTAGCAAGAACAGAGTGTGATAGTAAGGTGTTTAAAGGTGGTTATAGCATGGAGGGTAGGAGCTGGAGTCATCTAGGATGTGCTTTACTTGAGTAGTTTTTGTTGAAATCACCTCTGGAGGAGCCTTCTGGTCAGTCCCGTAGATGAACACCTCCTCTGTATGGACCAGGAGAAAGCCAGGAAGTCCAGTCTGCTTGTTCCAGAGCTGTGCTTCTGGAGAACAATAATTAGCTATCTCTTGGGTATTTGAGGCTGGCTCAAGGAAGCTTCCTTTCAGCTCCTTATTTCTAAGCCCCAGGGGCCCTGGTTACCACCTTCACAATCTCACCCCATAAGGAAGGTTTCGTAAAACATCGGACTGAATCCTAAGGATAAGTGTAGGTGACACTTCCAACTCTATTCATGATGTCACTTCTTCTTCTTTTTTACTACATACTCTGCTTTTTATTAATTATTTAATCAAGTCAATATCTGTCAACAAATGACCCTCTTGCAAATATAGGAAACTCGTTTATCAAAACACTGTATTAAGCCTTTATACATGAATTCTTAATACTCAGCAACTGATTTTCTAAGATATCCAAGTTAGAAATCTGAGCAGATAAACTATTAACTGCCTGAAAACTTTCCAAAGGATTTTCATGACCTTTTACATCTTGTTTAAAATGAAATTAGCTTTGTCCCAGAAGCTCAGCGTAGCTCTTTCGAGTTTTTAAATATGTCTCCTGACACCCTGGGGCAAGGACCGTAGTTACGCTGTAATAAACCCCACACAAGAAATGTGTTGGAGGGACCGCTGTTTCTTCCTTGGCATCTCTTCCACGAATGGTGCCTCCATCTTCCTATGACCCAGGCTGAGGACTGGGAACTTGGTTTGGATTCCCCTGCTTCCTGCCTCCACTATCTCCTAGCAGTCATAAACGCTGGCACGTGTGACTTTGTAATATTTCTTGGGTTTATCCCTTTTTCTCTTCCTATTTCTTTCTCTTTCATCTTGAGTTCAGACCCTAATCTTTGCACACCCAGGATATTACAAAATAGTACAAATTGGTCCTCTACTTTACCCCACTAAGATTCAATTTACCCAATATTGCCAGAGTAATGATTCTAAAACAATATTTTTATTGCATTACCCCTGATAAAAAATATTTAATGATCTCTTACATGAATGAAGCAGGTAATGGTGAGGGGCAGAAACTGTCCCACTTTCTCAGCTGTGTGCCACTGAACAATAACCAGATCTCTCTAAGCCTTAATTTCCTTGCCTGTTATTACATGGGAATAATAAGAGGTAATAAATAAAAATCATACCAGCTTCAGTGGGTTAGTGTTGAAATTAAATGGGATGTAATGCATTTAAAATGCTTAGCATAGTCCCTGGGATGCAGTAAATAATAAACATTAATCCTTGTTATTAATAAGGGATACAGCCTAGTTGGTGGGAAAAGGAAGGAGAGAAACAGCACAGCACCTAGACAGGCTAAGGACAAACCATGTTTACCTCAAGACTGCCTGATCTGTCAGGTTCAAAAGTCAAGTTGAAAGGACCAGTGACAATGACAAAATTGCATCTTGGAGGATAGAATTTAGAAGAAAGGCAAGGTGGTAGGTATTGGAAAGACTATATTAGACAAGAAGGCGGGGGGGAAGATTTTTTTTTAAAGATTTTATTTATTTATTTTTAGAGAGGGAAGGGAGAAAGAGAGAGAGAGAGAAAAACATCAATGTGTGGCTGCTGGGGACCATGGCCTGCAACCCAGGCATGTACCCTGACTGGGAATTGAACCTGCAACACTTTGGTTTGCAGCCCGCGCTCAATCCACTGAACTACGCCAGCCAGGGCTGGAAGATTTTTATTAATAAGCATAAATATTTGAATCCATTTGTAGGTGTTTTAAAGTTCTCAAACCTTTAGAGGTTCTGCCAAACTAGGCTAACCAGAGATACCCATCAAAGGTGTGTCACAAGGGCTAAGAGCTACTGGACTTGGACAGCCTGGGCTGCACGCTCATTCTCCGCTTTCACTAATTAAATGATGTGGGCAAGTCACTCCATCTCTGTGAGCCTGTCTCCTTACCAGTGAAGTAGGCATAATAATGGGCCCACCTATGGACCTATTTTGAGGAATCATGGAGTTAATATATGCTTGGAATGCTCCTTCACCTGCCTGGCACGTGGCAATCCAATAGGCAGCTATAAGTTACACATAATCACATATATTGTAACCACAGGTCTGTGAACTCATTCAGCAGTGGTTCTCAAAGTGTGATCCCAGGACCCCTGAGAATCCCTGAGACCCTTTGGTGGTGGGGGTGGGGGGTGGGGGGGGCTCCATTTTCACAAAAGTCATGTTATTATTGAATGAATTTATTGATAGTTCCTATCAACCTGTGAGTTTTTCCTTTCTGGCTAAAGGTAAGTAGCTAGATTGATATACAGAAACACTCTCTTTAGGGGTTTGGAACTCTGACCCCTGTTTCTTCATTTTTAAGTACACAGTGTTCATATTTTTCTGGGTAAGGTGGACTCAAGTTCCTAAAGTTACTGTCAGACCCTAGACTGGTGGCCTGTCCTTAGCCCACAGCAGGGAAGTTGATGGGCGACCTCTGTGCTCTGAAAAATGTTGTTTGATTGGTAACAGTGGTTAGAACACAAAAGCTCATCTCTACCAACCTGTCTCAGCCTGGGGTCCCACCTAAAAAATGCAATGAATTCTCACACATCCATGGTGAAAGACAAAATCTTTTTGTTTTTAGTGGCTACTCCATCAAACTTATAAGCCCCTTTTATCTTTTGTAGCAAGGCCCTGGAGGAACTTGTGAGTAGTGGTATGACAGTTATGAACGACCAGAGGAAGAGTGTGAGCAAACTGGTAAAGGAAAAAGAACGTGAAATGAACATCTACTACTCCATGGCTCAGAGGCAGAAGCAGGAAGAAGTGCACGAAGTGCTTCAAGAAGCAGAGAAAACACATCAGATCACACTGGGAAATGTGGTGGATAAACTGGTCAACACTCAGGAGGAGCTGCTGTCTGTTGCAAAACAGCTGGGAGCTATGACAAACTGGAAAGATTTCCTTGAGGAAGAACTACAAGAAACGAGAGAGGCATTTCAAAAATACATCAATTTTACATTTCCTAACCTTTCACCAGGGCATGCAGATTTTATTCTGCCAAAAAGAAAGAAAACACCTTCCAATCTTATTATTCAGGAGAATGAAACAACTCTTAATTAGAGGTGTTCAACTGAAATTTCACTACAAAAGACATTGTTCCAAAGGCTAAATAAATTCACTCAAAAAACACTTTTTGATCTGGTTGTGTGCAGGGTACTATGGGGCTGTGAGCATTTTGATGGAAAATGAAAATATTCAAAAGCACATTCCAGACTCCAGAGAGTTCCAGCCCTGAGGAGAGATAAGAGTGCGAGTGATTAAAACTGACTAGAAAGGAAAAAGCTTTCTTGGAAGAAATCTAAACAAACTTCTGTATCTGGCTTTATTCATGTTTTCATCAGACATGTAACTACATTAGTGTCTGTGGCAGTTGAAAACAAACAAAAGGACATGTTTTTGTAGATTGTTCTCATTGTGGAGAGGTGTACTAACTTCTAGTACAGAGATCTGGTGAGCTGCAATAACACTTAGGGAAAAGAGTGATTTCCCTCAAATTCAATAGGATAAAATCTAACTTCTGGGAACCCCTTATAAAATAATTCAGAAAGTACTCGCTTTCTGAAAGAAAACCGTCTGTGGAGAACAGACTGCCTGCCCCAGGTGGGGAGTCCTCTTGTGTTTACCCCCAAGCCCATGAGTTCTTTAAACTCATCTCCTTTGGGTCAAAATGCAGAAAAACCCTTCAGTAGCCAATGCTCAGAACCCACCCGTGTCAACGTCCATGAGTTGAAATGGAAGAAACCCCAAGGCACAAAGACTTCTCCTCAAATCCATCCACTCTAATGTAGTATCCTTAAATTACTCATCGCCAACCTATATTGGTGGCTTTAAAATTAGTAACTTGGAAAGCACTTTCCAATAAATTAAAAAGTGCTATTATCAAGCCAGATTCAGGCGGATTTGTTTCCATCAACCTGCCTGGGACTTTTTAAATGGAAAAAGCAGCCATTTGTTTACAATTGCACAGTGGACTACACTCTCTTCTGTGTTAAGCTCTCTGGCCCTGCAGGACTTCTGCGGTCCACACCAACTGTTTGCCTAGGAGCTGAAGTGATAACGTTGACACAGTGCTTCACACCGTTTTTTCATGTGTGTTCTTCTCACACCCATCTGCGAGACAGCACAGCGGTTGTTATTCCACTGTTTATAGATGACAGAATAAAAATTACTATGACTAAGGTATTTACCTGTGTGAAGCACTTTAAAAACATTCATACTTAATCCTCACAACAACTTTGGAAAGTATGATTGCCCTCAACTTATAGGAAGAGAAACTGAGGCCCAGGAAAGTTTAATAAATTGCCCCCCGGGACACACAGCTAGGGACACAGCCAGAGTTCAAAATATTTTTTTCAGAAATTAAAAGACATTTATTGAATACTGAATTTACAGAAATAGTCAATATGTATTCTTAATATAATGTATATCTTTTATAAATGCCTCCTTTTTACAAATTTTATTGTTGACACTTGCAGACAGCCCCATTTCAGAGTTCACAATATTAGGGAAGGCGCAGGGAGACGGGTGCAGGAGAGACGGCTGGCATGCACCTGGAGCATGCACGCAAGTGGGCTCATTCATTCTCACAGCAATTTCCAAAAGGCAGGAATTAGCACAGGCACAAATGGGCTACTTTCTCAGTCATACAGCTACTAAGGGGCAGAGCCAGTGTCAAATCTAGAAAGCGAGGCTTCGACCTGTGCTTTGTCCTCATTGTGTTTGGCCTGAACATGACCATCTTGGTGGTGGTTTGTTGACTCTGCAAGTGCGTGTCTGTGGAGTCTGTGACGAGCACGGGGGGAATGTGGTCCGTCCCGTGCCAGGCGTCGTTTTGTGTCTTCTAGAAGTGAAAGGAAGTTGGACCTAGGACTGTGGTGTCCGAGTTCCCGGAGTCACCCACCACAGGGGAGCAGAAGGAACCCATCTCCCAAAGGGTCACTTCATGGCCACAGTTAAACAGGTCTCCTTTGGCATTAGTGAAACTGAATCACATGAAAAGAAAGCAGGCAACTTATTTTTGGTTTGGAAAAAAGAACCTAACTTCTCAGTCTTTAGCTAGATTGGAAGAAATTACATGATCATTGATTTTAATATTTTCCTGTTCACACTCCAGGCCCTGCTCTGATCCCAACCCCAACAACAGCATCCACAGGTTTTAAAAGTTACTTGGGTCCTGACTGGCTCTCTTGGTGGATTCCCAGTCAGAGCACATGCCTGGGATAGGGGTCAGTCACTGGTCCGGGTGAATACATTGTTTCTCTCTCATTCTCCCTCCCTTCCCCTGTCTCTAAAAATAAATTAAATCTTTAAAAGTGATTTGGCTGCTTCTGAGAGTTAAATATCTTATTACTGCCCTGATCCCAGCTTTACCCCCCGGAGGGCCCACCAGAGGACTCTGGTACCCACTTCTTCAAACTGCTAATCACCGCTCATGTCATAGGGCTGATTACAGGGGACCCTGTCAGGACAGACTGGCTTGACCTCAGACCCCCATTTACCACTCACCTCGTGGCCCGGAGTCAGCACTCACCATGCGGGGAGGGTCTTTTTTCAGAGCTCTTGTTCTCCCTCAGCTTTACTTCTCCCGAGACCAAATTAAAGAAACATCATCTTTGACCTTACCCAGATCCTTCACCTTGATTTGGTCACCACAACCCACAGTTTTTTTCTAGCTTGAAAGTCTCCCAGATAATATAACCCCAAAGAATTAAAGTTCAACATGGATGGATAGTTTGCCCTCAGGAGCAGAAAAAGCTGATAGCAGACCGAAAATGAGAGCTCACTCCTTCCAGCATGCCATTCTGTGGGCCTCTCTGCGGTCTCTTGTTTCTTTGGCACTGATAAGGATGAGCCTGATGGATTAAAAAATAATGGAAGATATAGCAACGACCATTTATTGAGCATCTGCTATATATCAGACATGGTACTAGGTTCTTTACTAAACCTTGTCTTAGCTGAACTCTCACAGTGACCCTGCAAGATATTTACACTTGCCTCCATTTGGGAAACCAGGAGACAGGAGTAAAACCACTGGCTGAAGATCACACAATTATTTGAGCCCATGTGTTTTTCACAACTACAGCACATCGGCCTACTTCAGTGCCTGTGTAAACATCGAGTTGGTGTCAAGGATCCACTGCTTCCAGAATACATTGGAGTTGCAGGAGGGCGATTCTGAGTTATTGTGAAGGATCCCGACTCTTCCAGGGGCATGGGCTGGGAGCCAAGAACGAAGTGGAGCAGAACTGGACAGCCTTCCCTGAACGTGCTTGGTGAGCAATTCCATGCCAAGCCCAGGGGTGAATTTGTGGAGAGCTGTCCCCTGCAGCTCCCTCCACCATTCTGATGTCTAAAAGTGAGAATTCAAAAATCAAGTAAAAATTGAAAGTGAGGTATGTTTTTGAAATCCCAGTGAGATTGTTACTCCAAGGTTTTCTAGCAAAACTTTTTTTTTAAAGATTTTATTTATTTTTAGAGAGGGGAAGGGAGGGGAAAAGGGAGAGAAACATCAGTGTGGGGTTGCCTCTCACATGCCCCCACTGAGGACCTGGCCTACAACCCAGGCATGTGCCCTGACAGGCCCGCACTCACTCCGCTGAGCCACACCAGCCAGGGCTAGTGAAACTTGGTTGAGATTCAATCAGGCTATTTTCAAAAAGAAAGATTCCCCAAGTGAACTACATTTTAATTTAAGTTTACTTGAGGATTTCAGTACAATACCTAGAAAGGCCATTATAGATCTTAGATACTATGCCCCATATAAGTTATTAAAATTGTGAATATTTTGGAGAGTTAGTTTAAGGAGAATGTAAAGAATGTGTTCTTCTTAGTTGTCTTAAATACTATCTGTTTCCATGGTTTCTGATATATATAAAACTATGTTAATTCCTGGAGGTCTTCTGGGAACTTAATCTGAAGACCCTAAGAGATTTTTGCAGTTTAATTTTCTGAAAGTCATTCTGCCAAGAAAAGGACCTTCTTTTTAGAGGAGATAGACCTGTGGGCTGGGAAACAGACGCATAGTATCACTAGCAGAGATCAAGAAGCCCACCTACCCTTGCCAGTCACAAAGCACAGGGGGTGGGCTATTTAGTAATCATTGGACCTTTATGTCACACAGAAGTCACTCTGATATTTTCTTTCTCTAACTTTGATTCTACTTGACATCTTTAATGCTTGTGTGTTCTAGCTTTGGGGGCTTTATTTACACTCACACCATGTAGACATTCTTTGGCAAAACTTAGGTTTATTTACGGATCAAAGTAGTTTGACGTTCTGCTGCCTCTAATAAACTTTTCTCTCTGCTTGGGGGAAATCACTCAGAAAAGGAAATAAGAAAACAGTGCCATCTGTGGTCCAACTACCGCAGCCAGGCGGCTTGTGAATGCCTCCCCCACGTCACTCAACTTCTGCTTCACAGCAGCCAGCTAAAGAAATTCAGGCGCTTTAAGGTTAAGTGTTTGTGCTTGAGGTCACTCCATTTAAAAAGTGCAGACAGGCCCCTAGTCAGTGTGACTCGGGTGGGTGTCATCCCACAGACCGAAGGGGTGCTGGTTGACTCCAGGTGGGGGCACACGCCTGGGTGGTGGGTTCAGTCCCAAGCCAGGGTACGCATGGAAGTCAACCAATTGACGTTTCTCTTTCACAGAGATGTTTCTTTCCTTCTCTTTCTCCTCTCTTCTCCTTTCTTTAAAATAAAATAAAATAAAATAAAAATTTTAAAAAATGTAGATGTACTCAATCCATTGCGATCTGATTACAAATTGCAGGATTGAAAATGAGTGATTTTATTCTATTTTGTTCCTAATATAAACACCTTACTATTAAATTGAACAAAGTTAAAAATTATCCCTTTTTACATAGCAACTGCATGTTAGGTCTCAACATTTACAAGAATCAAATTCTATCATTCTACCTCATCTGACTTTTAATCATATATGGTACTTCCTGTTTCTCACATCACTCTTTCTCTCTTACCTGCTTTGGGAGTCTATTTCCCACCACTGGACTTTAAGACATAGAAGACTCTCTGCTGAGGACCCATAACAAACTCGAGGGCCAGGTAGTATCTTTGGCATAGTACTCTATGCTGCATAAGTA